TTGTCAATTGATCGTAATGGAAATTTGATTCAGCTAAAAAACAATAATACGCTGATCTACCGATGTCTCGTTCTCATTGTAAACCAATCGGAAAGAATATCTTTGAGCCCAGATAGACGCGGAAGTTGTAGTACCGCTGATGGCCACTATGAAATTGTGCTTCAACTTCCAGTCCGGAGCTTGTTTATATAGCTCCATAAACTGGCAAATAAATAACATTCTAATAAACCTAAAAAGAAAATGGACATGTCGTTATTTACTGTCAATTTTATACTTCAACTACTTTCATTGATTTATTTTCGGTCTCTTGGGGGCAGAACTTAAACTCTCCTGGAAATCCCCATTAACCTGTATGGAGTTTTGAGCAAGCTCACCAGCCTTAAGTCCTCTTCCTGTCATTTTCCCTCCACACAGGGGCCTGATAGCCTTGAATTCCAGTGACACCTACTACCTGGAGCCAATCAGTGGTGTGTATCCTCTCCACCACTCGCTGTGGAGGGCAGAGGAACTGCCAATTAAAGGAGGGAGCTGTGGACACGGTCATCCCACCCCGCATTACAACCACATCTCCAACCTGCTGGGACAGTTCCATTCCAGGGTGAGTCTCGCACACACACTGATTTTATAGAAACCATAATAAGACCATATTAGGGCTGTTTTTCTGATATATTGTTGTTGATGTTGTCTTCAACATTAACTTTATATTTAAAAAAAATAGTTTGCTGTCTGGCCCAAACACAGAAGAAAAGATCAATAACAATTGCATCTCTCTGAATCCAGTGACGAACAAGTGGATTCCCAAAATATAAGTCTGTCAAAAACATTGGAAAAATGATTTCTGCTGCAATACCACAGCCAAAATATAAAGTTTGTTGTAGACTTCCTACAACTTTTGCTCAGGGGTTTTGCCATTTAACGGCTAGATAAATCCATATTTCCCGGCTGGTGCCTTTTTGTTGAACCAGGCTTATTTGGTAATCATATTTCAGAGTTTTGTCACAGAAAGCTGATGTTATAGATCTAATGACCTCAGCTCAACTTAACTCTCATGACTACAGCTCTTGAAACAGCCTTGTGAAACCTGTGTGTTACATTCTGGTTTTAATCATGGATGTATGTAGAGGATGGGGTACAGCTTTATAAGCTGTTCCCTGCTGATTCCTTAAGAGTATTCCAAGCATACACACAACAATCTGCTTCAAAGAAATGTAATCTGAAAATGCTTCAAGAGCCCATGTTCAGTTGTGATGCAGCACATATAGTCAAACAGCTCCAAAAAGTGCTCAGTGTTTTGGGTCTTCGAAAGTCTTCCCCACCTTTAAGTGGAGCATCGTAGAGGTTACACCTTACCCAGTAACCAGGTACCAAATATTATCAAAACATTTTCAGTCAAAATGATTCCTGCAGAAAGAAATGACTCTTTGTATAGTTTAGCTCGCAGCCAATCACTGCAAGTGTTCTTACATTTATTGCGACCTGTGATTGGCCCATTATCGCAGCAGCTCCAACTCCTGCCATAGGTGGAAGAAGTACTCAGATATTTAGGAGCAGTGGAAAAACTGAATTGCAAAGAACACTGTCACAAGTAAAAGTCCTGCATTTAAAGTCTTACTTAAGTAAAAGTACAAAAGTATTGACATCTGAATACACCAAAAGTAAAAGTATGTCATGCGCAATAGTCAATTTCAGAGCCATATATATTAATGAATGAATTATTATTATTGATGCATTAATGTGGAGTTACTTTATATACTTGTGCTGGGTATTTAAGCATATAATTATAATTTGATATAACTTGATTTGTGTTTTGTATTAGCTGATAATCTGTATCTGTTAAGAAGCTAAAGCTGTCAGATGAATATAGGGGAGTACAACGTGAAATATTGGCTTTCAAAATAAAGTGGAGAATAATTATAATGCAGCATTACATTTAAATAATGTATAGTACCTCATTACATTTGACTCATGCATGTGGGTTGGTTGGCAACAGAATGTTTTTATGTGAGGGGAGAATAAAGCAGACAGAAATGTATCAAATGAAATACTTTAACGGTATCGGTATTACTTTATAAGTGTTGTGTTATTGGTAATGGTATCGGGTTGTTGGTAAAGAAATGGAATGTCACAGGGAGAACTTTGGAAAGACACCAATGTGACAGACTGAGAGGTGATTCTCTTTGGCTTTGGTTTATCACACAGCTAAATGAAATCTCCGGCCACATGAGAGCATTTGGCCCTGCAGCAGAAATGGTCTTTGTCATATGCAAACACAGTATTGAAAAGGTCTTGGTGGTATTTCGGGGCGCCAAAAGACTCAGGTTTCACCTGGAAATGGAGGGAATTATGGCTTTGTCTCAGCCTTTAAGCTCTGTTTAGGGCAGGCCATGGCTGTGAGTCAATTCCCCGTGCCTTTATACAGTAAAAAAAAACAAGTTGAATTAGCTCATCTGCCGTTATAGATGATCAAAGGGACCGCGGTGGGTCCTTGTGCCTTCATCTGTCTCCACTGCTGCGACCCATTCTTTGCTTTTTCTCCTCATATTCATTATTTCCCATTATAAGTTCTCAATCATTTTAAAGGGTTCATCATCGCCATCTTTCTCCCCACCTCACATGCTAAAACCCTCTCAGCTCTCCACCGGGGCGTCATCCTTTTCCCAAATGCTCTGTTTTTCTCCCTGCTGTTCTGCACCCCTTGGCTCCCCCCGCTCTGCCCTCATTAATCCTCTGTTGTTATGCAGAAGCAGCAGACTGAGTCCCAGGGCTTCCGCCACTATTTGCCTCTCACATAAACTATGCGATGTGTGAATGCGCCGGTGTGTGCCACAGATTCCCCGCCAATATTAGTGTTAAGTCCAGACTGAATCCAGGCAGCACGTAAATCAATGAGTTTTAATCACAGCAGAGCCTTTCCCTAATGGCTGTAATCGAGTATTTCAAGGATGGACATTTAATGATGGAGGGATATAAGAAGTCGTAAACCTTTTAAACACAAGAGCATGAGTGGCAACCCCTATATATTTAAGCTTTCATACTGTGTTAAACAGTTTTATTAGGTCAATATCAGTTCCTGGCTTTGTTCTGCTCTGCTCTACTGACACCACTACCTGCTTACATGCGTTAGTCTTTACATTTCACATTAATATGTGCAGTATTTCCAGCAGAATTGTGTTCTAGTTAGTGTTGAAGAATGTCTGCAGTATCAAGATAAAGATACACTAAGAACCTGTAGTTCTTAAATAGTTCACACCTGTAGTGTGTAAATGACAATATTTCACTGGGAAAACTTCCCATTTTGTTCTGTTGTGTTGTACTTTGTGTCTGTACATAAAGGTCTGCCTAATTGACTCCTCATGAATGACATTTATTTATAATAATTTAATAATGTAGATTTTTTTTAAACTCAGAAAATAAGCTATTATAGGATCATACTAATAAAACCCACCTCACAGGGATTATACAAGATAAATACATACAAGTATGAAATAAATATTTCATGAATGCTGTGAAGTAACCTTTTTTCCTTTTTTCATGAGTCGTATTGTTGATTGTAATACAGTAGATGTATAAGAGTCCTTCTTGGACTTAAAGCTTTATATAATAATTGTTAATGGTGAAAAAAACATTTGCCCTAAAATTCAATCCAGTTCCTAAACAGTTATTTAAAGATTTTTTCTTTGATAATTTTTTTCAAATAACAACCCAACACATATTTAAAGTGTACATGCCTGTACAGAATGCTGGCCCCGTGGATGGATAAAGAAACACTGGGCCCCGGGCAGAGACATGCCAAAGCCCCCCCCCCCTCTGTCCTACATATAAACACACGCAGACTTTGTGGGACTTTTGCTTATTTTTCTGTTCTTTTGCATCTCTTCATAGTCGTAACAAATGTGTCTGTGGTTTTACGTTTGTTTGGGTCATTTTGTGCGTGGTCATTTTGAGTCTCATTTTGAATCTCTTTGTGGCCCCTTTTGTGTTCATTGTGCCAGTGTGGTGACTTTGTGTCTCTTTGCAGTTGCTTTGATTCTCTTTGTTGTCGTTTTATATTTCCTTGTGGTCATTTGCATGTCTCACTGGTCAATGTGTGTCTCTTTGAGGGCCATTTTGTAAATAAAGGCCAGACTGGATCTTGACACTTTGGCCCTGCACCCGGTACGCCATTCTGTAATTCATCCTGTTAACTCAATACCAGAAATAAGCGGCCCATGGCTTTGCACAGTATAATAAAGTATATTTTACATTGAATAGTGTAGTATAATGACATTTTTTACATTATAATACAGTGTAGGGTAGTATAAAATAGTATGGTGTAGCATTGTATATGATAGTATATGATATTTAAGTTGAGTAAAATGAAATATATTATCATAAAATACATTATAATACAGTGTAGCAAATTATAATGAAGTATGATGTAGCACATTGTAGTGAAATATAATAGTCAATTATTGAATTTTACTAAATTGTAATGTAGTATATACAATTAAAGTGTAGTAAAGTTATATACACTGAACAAAAATATAAATGCAACACTTTTGTTTTTGCTCCCATTTTTCATGAGATGAACTCAAAGATCTAAAACATTTTCTATATACACAAAATAACCATTTCTCTCAAATATTGTTCACAAATCTGAAAAAATCTGTTATAGTGAGCACTTCTCCTTTGCCGAGATAATCCATCCCACATCACAGGTGTGGCATATCAAGATGCTGATTAGACAGCATGATTATTGCACAGGTGTGCCTTAGGCTGGCCACAATAAAAGGCCACTCTGAAACGTGCATTTTTGCTTTATTGGGGGGGTCTGGGGGGGTCCGAAAACCACCTTCATGCCGATCTAGATCCCTCCGCTTCGCGTCGGCCTCCTGATCAGCCTGTCCGTGTTCTTTTCCCAATAATGACCGTGTTGCTGCACATTATCCCTTACTTAACATGAAGAAGG